AACTAGATATCACATTGCAGTTGGGACTGCAAGAGGACTTGCATATCTTCATCATAGTTGCAGAGAATGCATCATACACTGTGACATCAAACCTGAAAACATTCTGTTGGATGCAGAATATGCCCCCAGAATAGCTGATTTTGGTCTAGCAAAGCTCGTGAGCAGAGACTTCAGCCGGATAATTACAACCATGCAAGGGACAAGAGGGTATATTGCTCCGGAATGGATATCAGGAGAAGCTATCACAGCAAAAGCCGATGTCTTTAGCTATGGAATGTTGTGTTTTGAGATCATATCAGGAAGGAGAAACAGAGATCTTTTGGATGATGGGTTGCAAAACTACTTCCCCACTCGCGTTGCAAATGTATTAACAAAAGGAGAAGATGTCGATACCTTGTTGGATTCCAGGTTAGAAGGTAATGCAAACAAAGAAGAAGTGATGAGAGCATGCAAAGTAGCTTGTTGGTGCATTCAAGATGACGAGAACGATAGGCCGACAATGGGGCAGGTTGTTCAACTTTTGGAAGGAGTCATAGATCTCGGCATACCCCTATCCCACAGTTCCTCGACCGGTTTTCAAAGAGTCTAGTCGAGTCCATACATTACCATAACATTTCTTCCGGTACTGCTTCGGATTCAAGGCGTGGCTACTCGAGTAGTATTACTATATCTGGAGCTTAAACTTAAAAGCAACTAATTTCCATTTTCTTTATTTTTGTTGACTTGCAGGAGATTGTGAGTCCCCTGATCCTCCCCTGTAGTTTTGCTTTACAATGTAAAAATTATTGAAATAGTTATCCAAATTTCAGTCTTTTGTGTCGTGCACTTCTCTTTCTTTTCACAAATTAAATTAGAATATTGCTTGAATAAAGGAATAAACAATTAATATCTTATTTGGCCCAAACCTTCTGCATGGTGCATATTCCTTTCCTGCAGACATTTGGAATTCCAGCAAATAGTATTTTCACAGAAAGAAAATAGTGTGTTATGTAAAAAGGATAGTCGATAGAAAAACGTGGACTGGAAAGGACAGTGTACCAAACATGTTTTGGAAATTCTAGTATTTTGACAAATCCCTATATGTAACGTCAACAACCACGGAATCCTCCGCAATAGTGTGCTATGTAAAAAGGATAGTCGATAATAAAACATGGACTGGAAAGGACAGTGTACCAAACATGTTTTGGAAATTCTAGTATTTTGACAAATCCCTACATGTAACGTCAACAACCACGGAATCCTCCGCAATGATGACCACACGTTTAAAATGTCATGGACTGCAACTCAACTTTCAAGGTTCAATGTCCAATTTTCTTACATTTCAGCCGTCTAGTTAAAATTACAAGGCTGAAATGTTAAAATTAAGGTACGGTACAAGCGGTGATGTGTTATAGTACATGAAATGGCTTGAACAACATGAATGATCTCAATCGAATATTATATTGAGGTATTGGTGCTAAATATAGACGTCATATCAATAATATCTATTAAATATCGATAACATATCAATCTTAATTAAATATGGATGTGTCTAATAACTGCATTAGTGAACATCGTTCCTTCCGCAAATGTCGTTGACACCTCTGACATGTCCTTCATTTCCTCCTTGGTTTATTTGTTTTCCGTTTCGGGTTGGGGTTTACATATGGATTTTGGCAACCCGGTTGTAGGATTACATGACTTGTAATTAGGTATGTTGCCTTTAGATCAAACAAGCCAGCAAAAGCTCATTCCTCCCGTTGAATAATACTTGCACTCTCCCTTTCCTCTCCCAAAAAGCTCTCCCTCTTCCAACAAACCCTAGCCGTCACCCCTTCGCCGCCGCCTCTGGCTATGGCTGCTGCTGGTGGCAGCCTCTCCCCTCCCTTTCCTAACTATTCCTCCATTCCTCCCCTCTCTTCCCCTTCTCAGCCATCCTCCTCCCCTCGCCATTCTCGTTTCTTCCCACCACCTCACTCCGACCCCTCATTCCCAACCTTTCACTTCCTCCTCTCCCTTCCCTTGCTTCTCTCCCACCATTTTAGGTGCAGATATACATGGATTTATGCCCTATACCCCGACCCGGACCTTGCCCGTTCAAGATTTTCTTCGATTGGTGCTCGTTTCATAGTGTGAGGTTTAGATCTGTGCAGCAGGTGGGCTGGATCCCCCCTTGTCAACTCGGTTTCCATGGTGGTGTCTCCTTCTTCCACGGCTTCGGAGTGCTCTGCTCTGGAGGTTCGACTTGGTCTGGGAGCTTGGCTCGTTCGTCACATTAGGGCTTGGCTCGGCTTAAGTGTCTTGGTGTGGGTCAGCTCGTTACGGCTCGTTTTGTTGCAGCTCGGCTCTTCTTGTTGTGGCTTGGTCTGTCTCGTTGCGGCTTGGCTCAGCTCGGCTTGAGCGTGGACGCTGACATCCCACTGTCCGGATTTTGTAGGTGATCTAGGCTTGAGCGCCCAACTCGGTCCCCCTACTTTTGAGTTGTTCATTGGATCTTTCTCATTGTAGTTTAGTTCTTGTCGCCCTTTTGCACCGCGGTGACGCTAGTGTTGTGGCTAATTTGGTCTTCGCCTTTGTACGTTGTTATTGTGATTCTCATCTGCTAACAATGACTTTGTTGTGGCCTTGCACTTTTGTGATGACTTTTCGTGGCCTCGCTATTCGGCAATGACTGTGTCTACTGGTGTTTCTCTGTTGCTACTATTGTTTATTATGACATATCTGTACTGTGACATATCTGTACTGGTAGTTTTGTGCGCTTGGTGACTGTGTGACTGAGCTTGTGGGTGTCTACTAGGGATTTAAATTAATTATCTGCTTTGTGCAAATTCATTTCAAATCAATTTATTGGTCATTGAAATTATATACCCAATGACACTCTATAATTGCTTCGTGTGGACTAATGAAAGGCTATGCTATTGATTATGGTTGAAAAAAATATATAAAAAAAAATAAAAAAGATAAAAACCTTCATCGACCTAAGTCGTTAATATCGAGTCCAATTAGCTAGCTCATGGATACACTTGTTAACCGCAATAATAAGTTGGTCGCGAACATGGTCAAATCGCGATCTAATTGTTAGGAAATTTTTGTTTATACTCAAAATTTACAGTTGAACATTCAATAAATCAATGGTAAAGGTACTAAGTAACATTAATAACAAACTGTTGATTTATTTGACACATTTGAAAAATTAAACGATCTGTTTTGTAAAAATTATCTTCAAATGAAGATTAAGACTTTTTTTTTATTTTTTTAACAAAAACAAAGATTAAGACATTGAACAGTTTCGATTATAAATTTATTACAGTAAAGACACATTATTTTCAAGTAGAGGAATGAGCTCATCCAACAGAGAATGCAAGTATTATTCAACGGGAAAATTATTCTTTCTACTTTGTTCATTATCTTCTAGTGATAATTAATCATTTGTTAGCTAGTACGTGACTATTGACAAATATTAGATAACAGGCTTTTAGTAATAAGACTAGAACTAATTGTTTTATCCACTGCGATAAACAGTCCCTTTAAACACATAGGAAATCTCCACCACCAACACCATGCCATCTGAGGCTGTAATTGTCACGCATGATCCTCTGCTTGTGTCTACACAAATAATCATCCATTGGAAGAATTTTCCTGCTCAAAAGCAGTTGCCTCAACTCAGTAACCGTGGTTACATCCTTCACTTCCAACGGCATCGTTGCCGCATTGAGTAAACTCGACAATGTTTGCACCACCCCCACACTCAATCTTCTCGCCGCCGGCCTCATCTCTTAGACAACTCATAGTGTTGTGGAAGATAACAATTCCGAATATGCATGTATCCCAGACTCTTTTGAAATGATACATCCTACAAAATTCTTCTACCTTCCATATTTTATCTTGTAAATACACGTCTTCGTGAATAACATCTTGAATTCAACGAATTAGACATGCGAGAACTTGAGTATATATAGCGTGGAACAAAAAATAATCAAGAAAATTATAGAGGCAACACATGGACTTTTGGGGTTAAAAGGATAAAATTACCCTTAAGGCATGCAATGAACAATAACGGCTCAATCGAGATCAAAAGAGATCAAATGGTATTCTTTTAAACCCTCTCATCACTCCTCATCAAATCTTCACCCACAAGTTAACTCCCAATTATTCTTTTCAAATTGGGATTAATTACCAAAATTTAATTGATTACATAATATCTTGCAATTAGAGCCAAATTACCACCATAAGTGGCCGGTCCTTATTCCCCCAAATAGGGCCGGCCACACCCCTATATATAGCCACTCATTTCTCCAAAAATCTAAGTCCAATTCTCTTCTAAAATTCTCTAAACACTTTCTCTCTTAAATTCTAACTTTGGCATTAGAGATTCTTCGGCCAAACCCCCCCCCCCAACAAATTCATCGTGGGCCCGGTGTCAATTGTTTTGCATGTGCATTTTCGTCCAAAAAAAAAAAAGCCGGAAATTTGCATCCACATATGACAAGTTGTATCATCAAATTAAAGGAACAAAACCTATTCATAAGACAACCATAATGTCTCATATCAAAGAATTATTTTTCAATAGTATTGCAATCATCTAGTTTTTTAGTTGACGTGAAGATAGCACTCCATGCACGAGCTCATCCAACAACTATCTAGCTACCAACGTATTCACTTCACTATTAGCCCAAAAATAAAAAAGTATTCACTTCACCACATTTCACATATTCTATATGGCCGTGTAGTAGTGGAGTCAGGATTCTAAATTGGGGAGAGCTTTCAAATATATGTGTGTGTGTGTGTATAAAATTGAACTCATAACATGTTAACATATGCAATTTGAGTAATCTTCACAAAATTAAACGACGGATCTCTTACATTTAATAGTGAGAAGAATAAAATGTACAAACCCAGACAACTAATTAAGAGAGAATGTGGAAGAAGGCTAAACAAAATACAAAGAAGTAGAAAAAGAAGGATAAGGTAAGAGGTCTGCAAACAAAGAAGACGGTGGATTGCTTTAGAAAATTATAGCTGAGAGAATGGAACCGGCAGTGGGTTTGCTTTTTCTATTCAAAATTGCACGTCTCTTTTGGAAACTCCCCTACCAAACTCATCGTTTTATCAAACAGCCAAACAGATTTAAATTTAAAACAGCTAACGAAGTGGTTTGGCCCATGTTCTTCCATGGGGTTCATACCTCAGCAGAAAAAGCTTTCGGGCCGCTGGTTGGTTTTATACACCTTTCGCAGAAGTCAGGAGGGCTACCCTTCTCACTCAGTGGCTCCGCCCTGCGGCCTTGCTATTAGTTAGCAAGAGAGTAATTTTGGGTCTTTACTCTGAACTGTCGAAAATAATCACCATTAATTTGATTATTGACAACACACACACATCTCTGTAATTTTCAAACTAATTAATAGCCAATCAAGGCTGGTCCATCATGTGATTTAGCCTAAATTTCACTCCCTAATATCGTTAATTGCATAAAAGAAAATCCCCCATTTTTTCATATATTTCTTTCTCGCGGAGTACTTCTCAGAACTAATCCCATGTCGTCACAGGCTGAAATTCGAAGTCGCAAAAGTAGTCTTGCTGTGATTCTTGGTCGCTGGTGCATCCATTGATAAATCTGTTGAGTTTTTCAGTTATTATTGCAGCCCCAAACTTGGACATAGATTTGCCCATCTACATGAAAGAAGGACAATTCATAGACCAAATTAATATCCATTGCTGATTAATGTCAAATATTTTCTTGATAAACAAACAGAGAAAAATTTGGTTGTTCTACGTACTTCTGCCTGGACTCCGTGAAACACTGAGTCTCCCAAAGTTGAAAAGTTAGCATGCACAACGTTGGCATGTTCTGCGTCAAGCAGGTGAATGATTTCGTAGAACATGAACTGATGATTTTCTAAGCCACTTATCAGTACTACCTCTAGCGTTGAGTCTATCTCATGGATTTTGATTAGGGGTGCTTTTGCGCTCCTTGTGCTCTCAACATTTACGCATGCTGTAGCATATGATCTTTTTCTAGTGCGCATTAAGCTCTCCTTCTTCTCCTTTAACTTCTGCAGCTTCGACTCTTGGCTTTTTATGTACTTTATGGCTTCATCTATTTGTTCTGTCTGACTTAGTGGCTCCTGCATTCACAACAAACACCCACATTCAGTATTAGCTATGAATTTCAATGTCTCAGATCCTCAGTCCGACAAAGATATCTAGTGTAACAAGAGAGCATTTCTGGCATTGATAGAGAGAGAGAGACCTTAAAAGTTTGTTTAGGGAGGAGGGAGTAGAGATTGGAGTAAAGAAGTTTCATACGATTTCTCCTGTTCTTCTCAACAACCCTCCTTTCAACTTTGGTTGAAGAAGATTCATTTGCTTGATTACGATCCATTCTCTGGCAAGTTGGCCACAAATAAGTAAAAATACCATATATAAATAGACACACACACACACAGAAACATATAATATGAGTCTGTCTGGGGAGAAAAGTTCAGAAGGAAGATGAAGTCTTTACTCTCCAGTTATAAGCAAGGAAATCAAAGAGTAGAGTCAATGCGTACCTCAGCTACTCTACTCGTCATCCAAGTTACATCAGCCATATTTATGAGTCAGAAAGAACGCCGCTAAGATGGAATTTTGCATCCAATTTAAGCACGTGCATGCGTTTAATTGTTTCTGCGGCCTACTCAGCATTCACACTACCAGAAAATATCTATACGTGGCAGTGTGATTTCTGTCACGCGGTTTATGGATATTCTCCACGTTTTTAATTCTTTTATAGTTTTTTTTTTTTGGTTGAAGAAAGTACGAATTCTTTTATAGTTAAACTTGTCCTATTTCATAAGTTTCCACGTGATTTTTTGTTTCTCTCATCGAGGATTGTATTGATATTTTTGTCTTGTTTCATGCAAATTTCTTCCTCTTTGATTTTGGACAAACTTGCACTTACAAAACAAATAACACCTCAGGTTAAGGCCAAGAGCCTCACACGCCGACGATGATTTTTTTTGGGGGGGGTTTTGAGGGAAAAATGTTTGAAGAATTTAAAGAATTTAGCAAGAGAATTGGAATTACATTTTGGAGAGAATGAGAGGGTTTATATAGGGGTGTGGCCGGCCACTTGGATGGTTTTGTGGGTTAGGTTCTTGATTTGTGGTTAATTAGCTAATTAATGGAATAATTATTTAATTATTATAATAAAAGAGGAAGGATTTGGGGGTTACCTTGTGAAGAAGATATGATGAGAATGGATGAAATAAGTTGTAAATAAAAACCTACCTGGGCACTTTTGAGTTGATTGAAGGATAATTGTCCACTGCTCGTGCGTAGGAATTCCGATGTGTCTCGAGGGTAATTTTGTCCTTTTAACCGAAAAATCCACGTGTCGCTTCTTGATTATTTTTGGCTCCACAATGCCCCCACACATATTGGGTTGCTCGTAGAAAATGGCAGTAGGTGGAGAATGGGAGAGTAGCAGGCGACTAGGTTGGGCCAAAGGTTGCTCCTTGTTTTCTTTTCTTTTTCTTTTTTTTTTTAATTGCAACCCTCTAACAAATTCCTCTTGTATCTTTGTAAAATTTTTTCAAGCATGTCTTCCTCGAGCCATAAGAATGACAATGATGTGCTGCCATTGTATCGTCAAGGTGGGTCTTTGAGCAAGGTTGGTTACTTCAAGGCTGCTTACTTCAAGATTGGCTTTGATGACTTGTTTAGAGACTTCCTCAAGGCATATTGGCATGTCATTCCGTCGGGAGTGCGTGTGAAGCGTCTTAAGGATGGTAGCAGCCCTGAGCCATATGATGGGGCTCGGAGAGCCATCAAGTTCCACCCCTACTATTTTGTGTTTGGGTTTACTTTTCCTATGTCCCGTTTCTTCCAAGAAGTGTTCTGCTCCATAAGATGTGCCTCTGCTTAATGTTCTCTGAGTGCAGTCTGTGTGATGGTGAGATTCCACAATCTTAGCCAAATCTTTGACTTAGATTTGATCGTCAACGAATTTTGGTACTTCTTTGACATAGGCCACATCAAGGGAGTTGGGCAGTTGCGATCTCACCATAGGCTTTTTGATAATTCGAGCAAGGAAGATCATGACTCGGCCAAGGAGACTTTGGAGATAAGTGGAGAATGGAAGTCTAATTCTTCCCCTGAGCTGCGTGTTCCCACAGTCTTCATATCCAGTAAGTAAGCTGCTTAATCTCTCGGCTGTTTTGTATTTGTGCTAAGCTGCTCTTTTAATTTTCTGATTGTCTTCTGCTATTTTTGTAGATTCGAAATTCGGCTCCACTCCTAAGACTTCTTCGAACATAAGGAAAGTGCATGTTGCTTTGGGTATCCCCTCTGAGTACCATGAGTGGCGTTGGTTGCTTAGTCCTCTTCATAGGAAAAAGGTGGGCTATCCCCGAGGACGGAGATAAAACGAATCAAGGCTAAGGCCTTGGCTTGTCCTATAATTATGGTGGAGCCTGCTACAAATAAAGGTGAGAAAAAGAGGCATTCCCTGCCTGCTCAAGAGACGCCTGCTGAGAAGAAGCCGAAGACTTCTTCCGCTGTTCATGAGAGTTCGCGAAGGTTCATTGGCTATTTCCAAGCTTGTGATTGACTTGACTTCCTCCAATGACGAGAAAGAAGAGGCTGCTAGATCTGTGCCGGTGGCATCTGCCATTTCGAAAGCTACTATTTCAATTGCTGATAGGATTGCCCAGCATAAAAGTTCCTTCGTGCCTCCGGTGCCGAAGTTTGTGCCAAAGCGTCCGTCTGGAGCTAAGTCTGGTTCACATTTGCAGAGGCTTGCTACTATGAAAAGTGACAAGGTGTTTATGCCTGCTAAAGTGACGCTACAACCCGATCCCTCTGTTGCTGATACCAATTCATCTGCTGAGAAGAATGAGATTGCTCGTGCAGGTAATCATGAGAAATCTACCAAGTTTGCTTCTGGGGAAGTTGCTGAGATTTGTGCGCTTTTGAAACCAGATCTACTTGAGGACATGAATGTATGTGCCAAGTTTGTTAATGGAGTCAAAGGAGTTATTGGCCCAAGTTTCTTTGCGAAGCATACGACCGAGTATAGAAGGACTGTTTTGTTGGCCATGATACAGAAAACGGCGATTCTAGTAGCCGAGCCTATTCTTCTTGGCCAAGAGGATACCAAAGCTGTTAAGGAAGTGGCAAAACTGTGGCAGCCGAAGCTTACTCCTCGGCTGAGAAAGTCAAGAAATTGGAATTTAAGCTTGCTGCTTTGAAGGGGTCTAATATCTCTGCCTCCACTTCTTTGTAGCTTGAGACCGCCCACTAAGAGTTCGTTGATTTGAAGACTAGGCTTGACATGATCCAAGTAAAGTATGAAAGTGCAGAGAAGAAGATCGAGTGTTACATACCTTAGATTCAAGATCTTAAGCGTGCCATCTTTGAATTTCGCTCCGCTGCTTATGCAAAAGATGAAAAACTGATCGCTGCTTATAACCAAGTTATTTACTTCAAGAAGGTTGTTGATAGGCTTGAGCCTCAAGTGTTGGAACTCCAAGGTGCTCTAAAGATCAACGACAATCTGAAGAAGAAAGTGGAGGAGCTACAACGGGTTCGTGCTTATCTGCTCAAGGAAAATGAGCAGTTAAAGGGTGAAAAGGTTGGTTTCAAGGCTTCACTTTTTCAGAGTCAAGCCAATTTCTACAAGATGGGTTATGTAGATCATCTATTTGGGCGGCTGTCTGACTTTAAGTTTTCTGGTAAAAACTTCGAGACCTTCTTTATTTCTCCGAAAAACTTGCTCGCCTTTATTTTGAGTCTTCTATTGGTGAAGTAGTCGGAGAGGTTGGTGCCTAAGCTGGGTCAGTTGAGGGTGAAGCGCCAGATGGTACCGCTGCTGAGGGCATCACGACTGCTGAAGATGTGACTACCGAGTAATCATGGGATATCCGAGCTGATGAAGAGTTTTTTTTTAGGTAGCCTTTAGGATTTTCTTTGTTTTTCCTTGTTGATTTTTCTTTGCTTGAACTTCTTCGGTCTTTGCTAGTTGTTTATCAATTTTGCTAGAAAATTTAATAAACATGTTTCCTTCGCTTTTCTCCATCTTCGCTTCTTTTGTTCATGCCCTAACCTTTAGACTTTATAAACCAGTAGCAGGCGTGCTGCTTTTCTATAAGCAAACAGGCCTGCGTAGACTACGTAGCCATAAATGTTGGTGTATAACCTTTGCAAGGTTGTTAGCCATAGGGTTGGTGGCCGGATGCCTTACTTACAGAAGCAGACAAGTCCACGTAACCACTAGGCTGTTAACCTTGGCTTTCTCCAATTCCGTACGTTACGTAGCAAGTATCACAACACTTTAGGACTTAGTGTAGGTTGTTCCGCGCTCGGTAATGGCCAAGCTTATCGACTACGTAGCATGTCGGCAGTGGATAAGGCTTCGTATATGCACGCTAGCTTGTTTAACCTTTCACAAGAATATGCAGTTGTATAAGTCTAGTGTGGCTTTACTTCTTGAAGGGCAAACCGTAGGCAGTCTTCCAAAAACCGTAAGCTACCTTAGTGCACTCGGTAACAGCTTTAGGGTTCCAGGGTAGCCATCCATAAGTCGTGCTGCTGTTATGTGCCCTCTCTATCTTTAGGGCTTGGTTCTCCGTGGATTAGGCCAAGAAAGCAAACCCATGTGGGTGTCGAGGAATTAGTTTACCCTTTCGCATAGGAGAGCATGGTTAGTTCCTCGGGGGGTGTAATTACTGCGGTAAGTCCCTAGGAAGGGTGCTATCTTCTTTTGAAGTGCAGGAGAGATAAGTTGTTGTAGACATGTAGTCGAGCCAAGTTGTAAATTACTTCGAATTCCTCATTGAAAAACGAGTGAAATGAACGAATAACTTAACTGTAAAAACTGCATAACAACTAGATAGTCCTCGGCTAGCAAAGTGGTACTCGTTGAGCTGCTTGAGTCTTCGGGTTTTAATATAGTGGAAGGTCACACATGGTACTTCCTCAAGTTATAGACATTCCATTGTTTCTCGATATCTTTGTCGTTCATGGTTATAAGGGTGTAATTACCCTTACCGTCTACCCTATTGATCTTGTACGGACCTTCCCAGATAGGATCCATTTTTTTGGAACCTTCTCTGCGGAAAATGATGAAGGTTTTCTTAGGACTAAATCTTTGGTCTGGAACTACTGGATCTTGGCCCTTTTATTGTAGCTGGAGATGAGCTGCTACTGGTAGGCTGTGATGCGAATGATGGTCTGCTCGCACTTGCCCTCTGCCAGATCTAAACTTGTGGACATCTCCTTACTGTTATGCTCAATGCTTGGCAGTAAAGTGCTGATGCTTAGCACGATAATGTTGGGAGGAATGATTCCTTCCGAACCAAATACCAAAGAGAAAGAAGTCTCACTGGTTGCTTGTTTTTTGGTGGTGCGATATGCTCATAAACATCCAGTGAGTTTGTCTGGCCATTTTCCCTTATTGTCGGTGAATGATTTCTTGAGGCAGTTGAGGATCATCTTGTTGGATAGTTCGGCCTTGCCATTGCCTTGAGTATATCTCGGCATGGACATGTGCTGCTTGATGCCATACTTTTGAAAGAACTTCGCCAAA